TGGTTGGAATTGGGATGTATTCCAGAACGAGCGGTAGTCGGTTATTGATCCTCGTCATCGGTACCTCATGGCGATGTGATCAGTTTGGATCCATGGCTGGCGTGCTGTTGAAGGACACCATATGGTCAGACGACTTTGATTATTTCAGAAATTAGTACTGCATGAAACAGCATGTCATCACACAGCTGAAGCATCCGTTCCATGCGTACCGAGCTCAATCCAAGTCGGTCACCCACTGGCACCAGAGATGCGTTGAGTCTGCGAACTTGTGCATTCACAACAACCACAACAATATCTGAGTCTAGCCCGTCCCCGACCCAAAGCTGTCATTTTGTCGTGATGGTCAGGCTTCTGTACTGCACTGATCCTGCGGGCTGTACTGGCTAAAACTCAGTTCCTAAAGGTTCAACCATGCCAGGAAGGCTGATGGGGTGCAGCCCAATGAAGAACAATGAGTCTCTGTACTGCGAGTAATCGTATTACGTGAGAGTCTGGAGGTAAAGTCGTACTGTCCTTTGTGATAAGAGTGTGAAGGCAGTAAGGCGTATACCCAAGATAACCAGCATGTCCATATTTATGAAAGCAGTGATGCTGCCTTCCCATGCGGAAGGACGGGTTAAAAAAGGTCGGCCCCAAACACCGCACACTCCGATCGCCTAATGGTTGACCGTGACCGCCGGCGCATTATTCATCACGGTCGAAGTGCTTTTAAGACCAAAGAGCCCGGTGCTACTCAAAAGGCACCTGCTGTACACAGCTGTATCAGGAGTGAGACAGTAAGGCCCTCCTCCCTGCGCTGTCGGGCCACGCCGGCCCCCTTACAGCCAAGTAAGTCAAAGTATTGAGTCACTGGCCCCGGGAAGGGTCACCCAAGAAAACCCTAACAACCGCTGTCCCTTTGTCCAGACTTTTGAGTCAGAGGCTAAGGGTGGGGTCTTCGAACAAAACCCCTACTGCGGGTCAGACTTTTGAGTCAAAGGCTCGTAGTGGGGTACCTCAACTAAACCCCCTCCTTCGGCCTGGGCAACCGGGAAGTATCATTTATTCTTCGCTCAGAGGCCTTCCTTTTCATCTCCTCCCAACCCATTGTACTATGCAGTGCGATCAACCCATCTGCCAACTCCCTAACCACTCTTCCGTGTCTCAACCATCGCCCAGATGTCTATGTCAATTTATATCTCCATATAAATTTGGGCAACATGCATCCCTTGCCGAAACCTTACTTTCCCTCTCTATCGATGTATGTTGTGTCTCCGAAACACGCATACAAGACTCCACCTCGGTCGTGCTCCTCAATCCCTTTAGGACGAGCCCAGACGTTCCACATTTCACTTTTCGGTCATCCGGTGATCCTGACGCAATAGTTTGTGGTATCTACCGTGTGGGAGTTGCACTTAGCACCAAGGCTAAAAGCGCCTCACTGGACTGGATTCCAATAAACAGGCCACTTTTCGCTGTGCGGTTGGTTGGCTCAATTAAGATTAACGCAGGTCGATGCAATAAACGGTGTTTGTTTGTCGTATCCGCATGCGCCCCAACAGATAGCAGTCCTGAGACTGAGGAGGACGAGTTTTACCAAGGTCTGTCACAACTCCTACGGTCAGCAAGAAGGACGGATAAAGTAATCCTGGCAGGTGATGTAACTGCCCAAGTTGAGCGACTAATTCCAGAAGAAGCACAGTTAGGTAGTCGATTTGGAGTCGATGCCGAACGTACAGATAATGGAGAGTGGCTTCTTCAGTTGTGTGTAGGTCATTGTTTGGCCAGTAGGAACTTCCAACACAAACGCACACACCGAGTTACTTGGAGGCCACTCACTAAAAGATAGTCCTAGACTCAGTTGGACCATATCTATCAGTTACCGATGGGGACCCTCAGTTTTGGATTGTCGTTTTTTCTGGGGTACGCAAATTAACTCTAATCAGGCTATCGTGAGAGCCCGCTTAGCACTTCGCTTTTCGCTAGCACTACGCGTGCCAAAAGAGAGCAGCTCCGCTCATCAACTTTAACAAGTTTCGGTAGCTGAAGAGTATCGAGCTGATCTAGCTAGAAAGCTACTGGAAACGCGCAATAATGTGGACGACGAAAATTGCTTGGAGGGTGAATGGAGGCGAGTTAAAGAAGCAATGCTGTCAGCCTTCAAAACTGTTTGTCCAGCTCATCTGACTTGACCCAATGAACACTGGATGTCTTCGAGATTGGCAAATCTTATTGCTGCCAGAAAGGTCAGTAATGTTCATGGTTTCAGTCTCTTTCCAGATTGTCTAGTTAAGCGCTTGGAAGTGTAGGCATCACAGAAAGCTTGCGACAGTTCAACATATGGGTCCCCTCCCTCACCCACACTCTCCTTTTCATTCTAAGGCAGTGTCATGACTATATAACCCATACCTTTAAGCGCTTGTGTAGGCATCACAGAAAGCTTGCGACAGTTCAACATATGGGTCCCCTCCCTCACCCACACTCTCCTTTTCATTCTAAGGCAGGCAGTTGACTATATAACCCATACCTTTGCTTATCCTTTACCAAGACTCGACCAAATGATTGAAACCATCGCACGCTACACCGTCTCCAGAGTGCATATCATCAGGTTCCAATAATCGAGTCAGACAAGCCATTCACAGCGTCCGAAGCTGGGGGGAACCTATACCAGTTTCAGCGCATTCCTTTTGGAGTGACAAACGGGGTCGCGTGTTTTCAGCGAACGCTGAACAATATAATCAAAGCCGAACAGGTAAAAGACACATTCGCTTATGTCGATAACGTCACTATATGCGGCAAAACGAGAGATGAACATGACCGTAATCTTAGGCATTTTCTCGATGTCGCAAAAACATACAATATTACTTTGAACGATACGAAAAGCAGCTTCGCAACTGAAGAGATTACTCTCTTAGGTTACAAGGTCTCCAAAGGTATTATAAGACCTGACCCAGAACGCATGCGCCCCATAAGAGAACTCCCACTTCCAGAGAACGGGAAATCGCAGCAAAGAGCCGTTGGTTTGTTTGCCTACTATTCACAGTGGATACCGGCGTTCTCTGACAAAATTCATCCATTGGTTAAAAACAAAATATTTCCGCTCCCGGAGAATGCCCGAACAGCATTTGAGAACCTTAAACACGAACTAGAAAATGCGATGGTAGTTACTGTCGACTACAATATTCCTCTCGTTGTTGAAACTGATGCGTCCGACATCGCTATTGGTGCATCCCTGAGCCAGGGTAGCCGGCCGGTCGCCTTTTTCTCCAGAACCTTGACTGCAAGCGAGAAAAATCATTCTGCTGTTGAAAAAGAAGCATATGCTATAGTTGAAGCGATCCGCAAATGGCGCCACTATCTCCTCGGGAGACATTTTAAATTGATTACGGATCAACGTTCGGTAGCCTTTATGTATGGGAACCAACAGAAAAGTAAAATAAAGAACGACAAGATTGAACGGTGGAAAATCGAGTTGGCAGGGTACAACTACGACGTCGTCTATAGACCTGGAACAGATAACCGCGTTGCTGATACCCTATCTCGTAACCTTTGTGCCAACATTACTGGGACGGAAAAACTTGAAGAGCTTCACAACATATTATGCCATCCCGGGGTCACGAGATTTGCACATTTTGTTCGTTCTAAGAATCTTCCTTTTTCAGTCAGCGATATCCGACGTGTGGTGTCCAACTGTTCCACTTGCTCCGAGCTCAAACCAAAATTTTGTGACACCTTTCGTGGCCAGCTTATCAAAGCCACACAACCGTTCGAACGCCTTAGTATCGACTTTAAAGGCCCACTTCCCTCAAACACTCGTAATAAGTACCTCTTAACAATCGTTGACGAGTATTCTCGATTCCCTTTTGCTTATCCCTGCGCCGATACGTCCTCTTCCACTGTAATTCGTTGTTTGAGTCAACTGTTTTCACTGTTTGGTATGCCTGCTTATATTCACTCAGATCGCGGTTCTGCATTCATATCAACTGAACTCAAACAATTTTTGTTCGATAAAGGCGTTGCCAGTAGTCACACCGCTGCATATAATCCACAATGTAATGGTCAGGTTGAACGACTTAATGGTACCCTTTGGAAGACCATCTGCCTGGCTCTAAAATCGCGCGGCTTGCCTGTCACACATTGGGAGGCTGTCCTCCTTGATGCTCTTCACTGTATCAGATCCCTGTTATGTACTAGTATCAACTGTACCCCACACGAACGTTTTATGCCGTTCACACGACGATCAGCCAACGGTGCCTCCCTACCTACCTGGCTTACTGTCCCTGGGCCAATCCTTTTAAAACGCAATGATCGAGTCTCTAAATATGACCCTCTGGTAGAGGAAGTGGAACTCGTCTCTTGTAATCCACAGTACGCCCACATAGTTCGTCCAGATGGCAAACACGAAACCGTATCCTTGCGCCGCTTGGCTCCCAAAGGCAACGACATGACATCCGACACATAACAGGAACCAATACATATAGCCGAACAAGGGGAGCCTCACACAACACCAGATCCGGGAAATCACTTGGACATTCTTATCCGACAGCAGCAACAGAGAGGCGTAAACGACTCCATGTAACTATTACAGCCTTTCATTTTTTACATTCTTTCTCCTCAAAGTACACACTTATTCCAAGGCGGGGAGAATGTCATGACTATATAACCCATACCTTTGCATAACCCATTAGCTCGTGATTCTCACTCTATTTTCAGCTCATGTACTACAGTTACTAGACGATTAAAGCGTACATTACGTCTTCCTATTCTGTCTCCCTTCTAATCCCGTCCTGGAACTACTCGACTCTCGCAACAGGCAGTCAATCATCATTGTCGACACTGATGTCTCTGGTGAAGTGGCTTCTGGATCCCCAGGAATGCGCATCCTCGAGCGATTAGAGAGTGGTGGTTGTCTCAACCAAAATAGCTGCATCTCGAATTCTTGTTTCTGATTCACAGAACACATCGATATCAAGCGAGTCCAGTGTGATAGCAAAAGCAGTCTGTCGTCTTGGTTAATTTAGCTACAGATGAAATCGGCTAGACCGACACTGGCTGAGGAGTCCACCGCCATCCTTGAAAAGAGCAGGTGGAAGATCGTCGGGACCAGCAGCATGATGATGCTTGAGTAGGGTAGTACATTCCGACACTCCTGAGACTGACGGTGGATCCATGCCTACGGCCCACCTTTCTATCGAAGGCCAGGATTCTGGATTGGAGGCAGCAGGTGACCAGCTGAATTGCTGTTCGTCGTGCTTTGAAGATTGTTTTCGAAGTGCTTGCGGCTGACGCACAGATGTTTTGGCTAAAACCGATGCAAGACGAACGAGTTCGTTGGCCCTAACAAATGACCGTACAGTGAGAGAGTTAATAATAGGTAGAGGAAGGGGAGGAAGATGCGCGTGAACAAGAACGAAGGGAGGTTTCATCGGCAGCCTGTTTTTCGCTCACCCGCCTTGCTGATTGGAGTGAGTGAGTTGACCTGGCTACTGACTCCACGTGACGGTCGATGTGGCATGACATTAATGTTTGTTGTAGAAATCGTTATTGTATGCGGGCTGTGATCTTGTCAAGACGCTCAGAGTTAGGCCGAATGATGGTTAGTGTCCTGTACCACAGCTTTGGCTCAAACGTCTGACTGCAAGTGGGTGAGAATCCCGGTGCGTTACATTTTTTTGGAGAAGTTGCCAAGCATTTCCCAACCTATAGGCTGTGTCGGCCATATCTTTAAACATTGACCTTTCTATCGCCAGGATTCTGGATTGGAGGCAGCAGGTGACCAGCTGAATTGCTGTTCGTCGTGCTTTGAAGATTGTTTTCGAAGTGCTTGCGGCTGACGCACAGATGTTTTGGCTAAAACCGATGCAAGACGAACGAGTTCGTTGGCCCTAACAAATGACCGTACAGTGAGAGAGTTAATAATAGGTAGAGGAAGGGGAGGAAGATGCGCGTGAACAAGAACGAAGGGAGGTTTCATCGGCAGCCTGTTTTTCGCTCACCCGCCTTGCTGATTGGAGTGAGTGAGTTGACCTGGCTACTGACTCCACGTGACGGTCGATGTGGCATGACATTAATGTTTGTTGTAGAAATCGTTATTGTATGCGGGCTGTGATCTTGTCAAGACGCTCAGAGTTAGGCCGAATGATGGTTAGTGTCCTGTACCACAGCTTTGGCTCAAACGTCTGACTGCAAGTGGGTGAGAATCCCGGTGCGTTACATTTTTTTGGAGAAGTTGCCAAGCATTTCCCAACCTATAGGCTGTGTCGGCCATATCTTTAAACATTGAGCAACCTGGTATCAGAAAGCTCAAATGCAACATAGCTCGGCTGGTAATAGAGATGAACAAAACGTCACCATGCGGTCAGGTTGAGCCTCATCGTGACGTGTGGCTGATATTAGAAATATTTACTCTATGGAATCTATGTGGGCACCGGAGGTGACGTGAATGCGGATTTTCTAAATGAAACTGAATTGTTATCATCCATAAAAGGTAACGAATTTCTTCATTCGCTCTGTGCTGCATTTTCTCGGGAGGCACTTGCGGCCGGCTGCCTTTTCTCCTTCAGCCCAAATGAGAGATGCATTGGGGATGGCACGGCGCTGGAGTAGAAGCTTCTAAGTGGGAGATCTGTGATCCGAGTCCAGCGTTCAACATCCTCCTAACAACTGACTATGCTCCTGGAAACGGAATTCTTTGACCTTTTCATTCTATGGATTGAATGACAGTTGTGCACTTGAAGGGCCCGCTGGACCACTTACGAACCAACTGTTGTTATCTTGGGTAGCATGGAATACTTATGAACTATCAAATGGGTACCTTCAAGAAAAACGCCCTACACCATTTTCGTACCATCCTACTCATACTTAGTTTCGCATGGGTTACATGCCGGGGAGTGAATCAGCTCCAAAGCTTTGTCTAAGGATGTAGTCGTGCAGCTGGCGATTGGTAGAAGATTAGTTTCCAAGACCGAGAAGTACTCTAATTACATTCAGCCATCCAGTTTATACAAGCTGGGTTTTTATTTCGCTTTTCCCAGCCGATCGGACGGTCGTAACAGTACAATCACTGTGGTCGGCAGGTTTGATCATGAAGTGTTGTGGGCTATGCTACGAATGATGTTCATAATTCTGTTCGACTTATATTCAGGGGTGCACCCCTAGCCCTTTGCGGTCTGATGTAACCTGCTGGACAGTGGGAAAGGTGCGAAGTACGACTGTACAATACTTCGTCGTAAATGGTTGTAATCTATCAGTAACCGTGAGCCTTGCCAACAAGTAGTTGCTTTTTTGGAGGTTATCTCGTCAAGGAAACAAATGGTCCATAAGCGAAGATTTTCATGCTTTAACTTTTTTCTTCGATTCTCTCCGTGACAGCTTACTTGAATAATGGATGGACGTTTGGTATAATTGCCAGTCCTACAGTGATTCTCCTCTGCTCATTTAATCCCAGAATCTCTCACTGTCATTTGCACAATGCGACCCAATGTTGATTCCCTCTCGAGAGTCTCAAAAGAAGAGTTGTACGGATTTGTCTGTCCTGATTGCATGGTTTCTCTGGAATCACCAGATGCACTTCTACAGCACTTCGAGTCCACACATGATGGAACCAAAGCAAGTTTATTCATATAACTTGCAGGTGTTGGATAGAAAATGATAGGATGACAAATTTTACTGTTGGTGTAACTTACGGTTGTGGTTTTTTCCTCCAATTCTTTACTGCACAGGAGTCCAGGTATGTGTCCAGATAGCCTTTTTGCGACGCTGGCTGTCGTGCAGAGCTTGTGTCCTTCAACTATATCGGTATTTAACTGCCATGGCACCAGAGGGAGGCACGTGGGCTGGGATACTACCAGGTTGCCCAAGCCTAGACAGGCGAAGTCGAGGGGCAGAAGGTCGGGTTGAAACACGGACCTTCCGGTCAGTAAATTCACACTGAGCCATCCCCCAATGTGAAGCCAGTAAGGATCTTATTTATTCTTTTGGTGGATTTTTGGTGTCGGTTAACGGGCAGAAGGAAGCGGCAGAACGACAGTCAAACGAAATCACACCACGAATTCGTAGTAGGAGAAGGTCTTTGAGAGTCTCTTCTGCTTTCTGAAGTACGATCAGTCTATGGGAGTGCGTTTGTTATTAAAGTGAGATGATTTGGTCGCGCACATGATACGGCGGGTAACGTCGTCTGAAACTTTCGTCATAGACTTTTCACGTGTGTTACATTGATTTCTTGCAATAGAGTCCAGATAATACCGTTGCTGAGCCCCTTTTGAAGTCGCACAGCCAGAACCTAATCGTTTTATTTAGTACCAGTAAAGTGCACAATATGACACCGTGACTAAGACATCTACGATGCACTAGTAACTTTGACCTATCTGAAAGCTAAGAGGGGTTCAAGACACTTAGTTAATGGACCAGTTGAGCCATTCACCTAGGCTACTTCAATGGCTTCAGATGGGACAAAGAAAGGAAATAACACGGCATCAGCTCATATGGTTGCTGCCTACCGATGGGCGCTCAGTTTATACGAGTGATCGAAATGTCACAGAATGTTTCGTTGACAAAAGTCAGTGTTACTGATAAGAATTGATAGTATCCATTTGGTAACTGCAGCTATGTACGGTTTCTGAAGTGTCTTTGGAGAAAAGTAGTTTTGATTCGGTTTATGCCACACCAGAACGGTCAAAAAGCAGTACCTTTGGTGTTTTAGGTTCCAGTCACTTCACAAATAACAGCGACATAGACAGCTGCGTCAAAACTGGTTTGATCCACAAACTGCTGCGGGTCATATCTTCTAAGATCAGTATACGCTCATCGAAAAAGTAGTGGCTGAGCAGCCTCCAGGAGAACAGACGAAGGGGCGATCGAATGTTGCTCCACTTCGTGTTTCAGTCCTGATCTGCAAGTCGAGTGCCAACAATCGATGACTCCGCCCAAGAGTGAACATAAATTGAGCGGATTCCTGATGGGCTGGGTAGCTGCTCGATAGATTCTTCAAGCCGCACTTAGGGAAGGCGATATTGTTTATTTTATTAGAGCGGTCCACTGTACTTCACTTTATTAGTCGGACTTCATTGCACCTCGGTCTATATCGACTATATCCTCTGATGTGCCACTCCTATTAGTCATTTCGCCATGTACCAAGTGCATGGTTTCGTTGTACTACAATACAACAAAATACGTAGTGTCTTGTCATTCAGTCAAAACTTGATCATTTATTTTGAACCGTGACAAGTTGTCCGTTTGTTGTTTGCTTATTGTTTATTCAAACAACCTGTCAGTTTAATCGTGACTCGCAAACTGCGCTTCCAAACCATTAGTGCAGTCAATAGCAGTATTCTACGTAGGAATTTGTACCTTAACATCTTTTCCGCTCTCACCCGTATGAATTTCTTGTTGCCATCGAACAAGTAAACGAAGTCGCCCCCACGTACACACACTACATCTTTCTTGAGCAATCGATTCGTCAATTTCCACGGTTATTTTTCTGCGATCTGTGTTAATTATGCAGATCAATACCTTGATTAGGCTACAACGAGGGTATGATTGTCAGTTTGTAGCCGTCGACTCTGCAAACCGGCTCCGGATAAGTAAACCAGTAAATCACATACTGGCTTCTTTGGTATGATAGCCTGCCCCCGTAAGATACATCTTGGTTTCACGCTGCACCCAAACTGATCAGTTTATTGAAATACTATGGTGTCACGAAAGTCCCGACCGGTAAATTCAAACACAAACTGAGTACACGATTAATATTTAAAAAAGCCGAATAGGTGGTTAGGGCTTCAGTTCAGGGTTTCCAAATGCCCTGCAAACTTCGTCGGCGGGACGACGCGGTGTCTGTCTAAGAACCACTGAGTGCATTCCCTCACGCAGTGGAACCAGAAAGAAAGCACGCAGCGAGTGAGACTGAGGCTCACATGCTCAATGCGGTTTGTTTTGTGAGTTGGGTTGAGTCGTTGGGCGTGATGAATAAAGTGTAGCAGTCCATTCCAAGGTCATTAGACAAGGTGCGTTCACCTCAGCAGAGTTGCTTGCTACTCGATTTCACCAACCACTTTTGTTGCACAAGATGTTAACCGCGGACCAACCGCTGCTGTGAGTTGACTTGATTTATTGGCCCTCTTCGGTAAACCATAGATTTGCTGTGGTGTCCGGTCAGTGTATAACGGTGCCTGCCGAAAACAACTGTTCGCAGTACAAGCTTATATAGATAAGGCTGTGAATGTAATTAATAAGAAAAAAGCAGCAAAATTCAGACACTTCAGCACGATATAACACACAAGTGGAGCCTCACGCACCGGAATTTCTGTGGTGTAGGTATTTGTGGAAGCATGAGTGTAAATCTGTATTTTTGGATACACTTTCAAAATCAAATCCGATAGCGATCAGTTATCTAGAACGTGGCTTGGGAAGCTGTTTTAGGGAGTCCGAGAACGGAGCTGCTACCAGATGAAAATATCTTACGAAAAGGTGGATGTATACGGATGCATTTAAAGGGGATTTTTCTGCAGTTGTGCGGTACCGACTTTCATTGAGGTCGTGGCTGTAGGTGTCTATTGTTTGCGTACCGTTGTAACAAATCTGCAGATCCAGTACAGGATGTACTCATGAGGTCAGCCCTTTTTTCCTGCAGCATCTTAGTCACTCTTCAAGACAGGATTACGGTTCCCCAAACGAACATGTTTCGCTAACTGATTTGCGTGCACGAGGAGACCAAAGGTGTTTCCAAGATAATTATTAAGTCTTTGTGGTCTCTGACTGATCTAGTGTTTGTGAGACATGAGGAGGATGGAATCCATCGCTTACGAGAAGTTTGTTAAGCAAACATAAATAGTGAAAAGCACAATGCATGCGAATATTGATCGACACACAGAGATAGCATCATTTGGAATGACGGGTGGAGGGCCGCTATCATAACAAACTAAAGGTCATTTTGTTCTTCTCTAGGGGGATTAATTGGTCCCCTAAAGCATATATTGCATTTTAGAACTTATGTGCTTGGGCAACAAACCACTTTTGAAGCATACTTTTGTCGAATTCTGGCTGAGAACAGTCCGCATGACGCGTTGCTGACGCCCACAGGGATGTTCACCAACTAACTTGCTTAACAGACATTTCTGGGTAATTTCAGACAAATGAGTGGTTACTTCAAGGAAGAATGCTTCCTTTTAACTGAAACACAGAACGGTCTTTGTGCAGCACATTCAGTTGAAGTGTACCATAGACGTGGGATTCAGTTAAGCATCTCGTTAACAGCAAAGTAATTTGCAGGTGAGTGCATTTCGTCACTTCCGTATAATTTGGTGTTCAAGTGGAGCAAAAGGTTGATGGAAACTCGGGGAATACCGCTGTTTGATGAATCCCAGGTAGGACGAAACCGATAGTGAATTGTCGTTTTTTCAGCAACTTTGGGAATAGTTCGTTTCTAAAAAAACGGACAAATACTCGTCTTATATGATTATAGAGGTTAATCCGTAACTCAGCCAAAAGCACTCGTGGCTATCTTGTGTTGATAGGATGTTCTTATGACTTTTCAACAGGACGCGGAAATAATTTACCTTTACCTTCAAGTTCTTCAAACTTTCGCCACCACCCTAAGGTTACGGTTTTGGATTATTTGGGTGTACGTTTTAGTGATTAGGACGATGTGCTTGGTTCGCGTTGACTGTCATGGGCGGACGAGCTCCACTCGCTTGAATATTGAGACAACTTCGAATGTGTGTATCTGTAAACTACACGACCTTGAAAGAAGTAGATATATCGCGCGTGATAGCGACCAATTTCGCTCTCATGACTGTTTTTTCCCAAGTATTTTCCACTCGATCCCTATTAGCGCCATCTTCGGAGAACCCTCAGTTGTTCTCTTGCTGACCTCTTCAGGGAGCACAGCTGTGTTTTGGTTCCCCGTGAACAAGGGGAAACCCACAAGCAGTTGTGCGATGGCTTAACGGCTCAAAAACAGTTCTGGACGATTAGTCCATCTTTTCGTTTATGCTACAGTAAGACGATGCTGGATAAGAGAGATATTCTTCAGCCTGCGTAGTTTTCAGCTAAAAGATAAAAATAGAAAAAATAGCGGTGTCAGGTACACAGTGGTTTGTACCGGGGGTTATGATCTTTTACGTCTGAGGTGGTTGATGTGAGTGCTGAATTTTCTACGTAGTGTGGTCACTAGTGATGGTTCATCAAAGTAAAATTTTGTCGAAGGCGATTTTCACTGGAGACGAATTTAGCGTCGCGTTTATTTTTCGGTTATTTAGGAGGAGAAAAAAAACCCAGCCTGAAGTAGCACCACCTTTCTGTTGTATCTATGTCATCCGTTTGTAATGGTTATCCGTAAAGGTCAAGAATTGGAATTGTGTTTGCATATTCAGTTAACTCAACAGGACAAATTCGTTTTCCGTGACCACGTAATCTGAATCCGGATTACCGTGATTCACGTTAAACAATAATGATGGAGAGTAATATTAGAGGCCCCACTTTTAATAACTAGCCATTTTTCTTCGACATTTCGTTGTTCGCTCCAAAACTGATCACTCTTTCTGTGCTATCTCTTAACTGCCTGTTTACAGAAACTAGCAGACAAGTCGGAAAGCCAGTCACCGTAAGTATTTTCGAGCGCCCCACCAATTTCTTTTGCATTCAAAGGGGAACCGTTCCTTCTAATAGGACAACACTGGGAATCCCACATGGTGTGGTATGTGCTATTTCAACAACCTCTCAGTATACACTCTGTTCAGGTCCCCACAGTAACAGATACAGATCATCCTGATGGCCAACAGAGTGGGTCTGCTTGTTCATCACCATTTATCGATTTTTCGCTACTTGTTTCCTGAAGGGCAACGACACGACTTGTTGGAAGAAATGTCCAAACTTAATAATACGCTTATTCAGAGAATCGCTTCAGACGGCAACCGGACATCTGAACTTGTAAGTGATGCTAGATAACTATGGTGTGGCCTGTTCATCTCAAGTTTCACGATATATTAGTGATGCCATTCCATAAAAGCCGGAGACACTGGAATAGAGACGTTTGCTGAGGGTTTTTCAACCTCCATATTCAGGCCAAGCTGTGTGTCATGTCGATTTCAGTTCATCAGCCATACACCATGTACTAGGAGTACATTGGTTCCAGCTACCACTGTTTCCGTTACCAGAATATGGGAGAGTGTAGGAGACATAGTTACTGAAGGCGATGGCCTGATCGATTAGTTCGCGGAAAATGGGCAGCTACGCATTGAAGGTGATAGCTTTGATGTACGGGAGCCACTGATCGCATGACTCAGCCATGTCTGCCACTTTCATGGGCATTGATGTGTTGAATTCCGGGAGAGAGAGATGCATCAGTCGCTCCCCCCTGACTGCGCTTATTGGTCCGTGTTTTCGTACTTCGCTGCCAGGTCATATGCTGTCCACTTCTCGCTCGCTTCCAATCAGCACGGTGCTGGGCAAAAACCTTTACGAAGCAGACGGTCCTCTAGCATGTGGAGCACGCACCTTAGCCAGCGTAATCTATGAAGTTTGAGTAGCTCATCCATCGCGGTAGGTTTTCTGTCCCTAAAATTATAGGGCCTAGCACACCATTGTTACTCCGATGTTCCCACCAGAACCCGCCAATACTTCGGGGATACCGATGTTCGTATGTCGTAGAGGTCACATTTCTGGTCTGTAAAGCAGCATTAAACGAACCGCTGCAGTGTACTTAAATGTTTTCAGTTCATTCTGCTCACTGCAAATCGTCTGAATTCGCTTATTGGTCGGCTTGCTGACGACTTAATACTACACGTTCTATTCAGGTGTTGCCATAATTCCGATTATTGTTAACAGGAACAGGGTATAAACTCAGCAGGCCTTTCCTCCATTCAAATTTTGCGTACTGCCTTCGTGCGCAACTTCTTCCGTCAGAACACTCTTCACCGACGGAGTGTGTTCCAATTAAGGCTAGACTGAAGGCATAAATTTCGATACATATCTTTGCCACTGATAGAGTATCAAGAATACGTTGCCACCACTCCCGAAACGAACGCTAGATGCGTGTGACTGATGTGGGCTGGGTTCATGTGCTGAAATCTCAGGGGTTGGAAGAGGACTTTGAACTCCAGTTAACCCCCTGGTGAGACCTGGACTTTCTCTTATTGTGCAGGAATTTGGTGTTTCATAAACTATTGATTCGTCTAAAGCAAGTGTCTTGTTAGGTAGTTGTCGTATTTCATAGTTGCAGTGACCTAAGACCTCGAGTATTTTGGTTTGAGCTTGAACAGTCTAGCGGGATTCTAATCCACATGCCTCTTTCGCGATGTATGGTAACTATGCGTTGAAAGTCCGGTTAATGTTAGGTTGACTGTGATTCCACCGCGATGGGACTGGACATATCGTGGGTCGACGGTAGACGTACCTTAGTAACCCATTGAGCTATACTGGAGGATGCGCGCAGCATACCCAAAGTCATGCCAGGTTGGTCAACGGATAGAAGTCTGACGGTCTACCGTCCAGGCTGGGGGTTAGAGCAAGCGCGACAATTTGTTCTCAAATACTCGGAAGTCAACCGCCGGTGCTTTGCGGTCAGGATTTTGAGCCAAAGGCTTTGACTGGGGACCCTAATCATCTCCTATCTAGGTTTAGGGACCCTGACAATATCTCAACCCACATGCAACCACGAACTTTACATGTTAGAGTATCTTCGTGTTAGATCGGCTTTCGCTTGGTGCTATCAGCCTGGTCGTCTTGTTAGCCGCGTACAGCTTGGTGGATAAGCGAAAACTGGTGGCTGCTGACACCTCTCATTTTTTTCGTCGTTATTTCTTAACTCCCATCCTGTCCTGTTTGACATTTGCTCTCATGTAGACTTCAGCCGTAAGCATTTCAGTCAGCCATCTATGAAATTGACACATGCACTTCGCGTCCGCTATTCAGGCCCCGTTCTTCGGTTTTGTGGCAGTTAAGCAGCAGTGTGTATTACTTGTGTGTTGATGTCAGTGATAATTATGACGACTGCAGATGGAGGTAACGTTTGAATCATCTTGGTTTCGTAGGGCTTGTCTGTGTTATTTTATCTCACCGAAGTATCATCACTTTTTTATTGCGTAGCTAGTTCACAGCACAATTGTCCACTACTATCTGGAAACTCATATTTGCGCTACTTTCCAGTCAATAATCTTCACGCTTCTTCCGTATTCACAACCCTAGGAGCGCATTCTTGAACTGCTGCTCGACGGAACTCCACTCCCATCTTCTTTCACATTTAGGTACGTTTTCATTGTGTTTGTTCCCGTTTACTTGACCTGTATATGCCTCCATTTGTCTCCAGAATCAGCTTCCTACATGTTTGCTTAGAAGAAAATTACCAATATGAAAAAAATGACTGCTAGCTTATTACAAACTATTTACTGTCAAACTACCCCGGTCCACCACGAACCCTTTCAAAAGGCTGCACGGACAAAAGTACCCAGGGCGTAGTGTCACATTTTAAGCAGCTCCAAACAGAGGTTAAAACAATGCTATGTGTAGGAATGCGCTTCCAGTGAATGCAGAAACATTCGGCCATCATATTTCTTTAATTCTTCTGCTTGGAGGCCCGTCAAGCATGTTACCATACGTGGCTTCATGGTTAGCTCACATTTGTGCTTTAGGACCCCATTACTAGAACAAGCAAGCAAATGAAGTCATCACCATCATCATTGTCAGCTGTAATAACCGGGTACTCGTCGTACAGTGGTTGTAGCTGCCGCAGTTTTGTTCACCGATGATTTGGGGGGGGGGGTAGCTAGCTGCGCATTGCAGGCGGGAGCTGATAAACTGATGCATAAGTCCAGTATTGTAGGTGGGCTGTCAATTGACTGGGGGTTGGAAAAGGGCTATGCATTGAAGGGTGGTTGTGCAAAAGAGCTCTTCGAGGAAGTCGGTCGACAACACGTGGCCAAGCCAGCGCAACCTATGAAGAGTGATCAGTTCATCTATCCGAGG